AGGCTAGGTTTAATGCTTCAAATTGGAGATTCAATTATGAGCAAAGCTCAAATAGTTCTACCTTCAAGGAGTTTATAGTCAAGTGGGGGAGGAGATAAATTACTGTACAAAGAAATGTGTCATTACAAATTTGGTAAGCCCTTTGGAACAAGTTAAGGACGTATGGAAGAAAAAAAAAAAAGAATTGATGTGATTTTCAGAGTTAGAGAAGGCTGTTGAGCCTCAACTTGAAAAATAAGGAGTAGTTGAAGAGACACAAAGGGAGGTATAGCATTCTGGGTATGTTCAAAGGCCGTGATAGGAGAGTGAATGATGAGAGACCAATGTGGCTGAGGCCAACAGAGCCATGGGTACAGTAGTAATAGTAACAGGCAGGGCCCAGGCCATTCAGGACTTTGTAAGCTTTGCTAAGGATTTTAGACCTTTATCATGCGGCCAGTGGGGAGCCATGGGAAGATTTGGGAAAGCAAGTCTGACACAACCAGATACGCATTTCTGAAACATCACTGGCAGCTAGTAAAGGGACAATGATGGAAAGGAGACTATTTAGAGGGCTACAGCAGGATCCAGGTGAAAGATGATGGAGGCTTGGGAGAGAGTGGTGGCGGTTAAGACCCAAAGAGGGGATGAATTTGGGAAATAGGGCCTACAAGACCCGGTAATTAACAGAAAGTTTTAACTAGCACAGTAACGGCACTGGGTCAGCTACTTTTTTCCATCAACATCAACTAATGGCTTTGTTAAGAAGTTTAAGAAATTGCTCCTTCTTCCTTAGGAGATCGAAAGGTCCCAGTACACTACTGATAGTGTCTTCTTGACACGCAGAACACACGCATAAAGACCAGTTTCCCACCCCTTGTAAAGGGCCACGTGACTTTATCCCACAAGAGGGCTGAGGCGTGGAACCTCACCGTTTCCTGGGCAACGCCATTGTAGGGCTCTGTGGGCGGGGGAGGGGTAACTAAGGACAACTGCCGGAAGAGAACTCCAGAAAAGAGGAAGAGTCAGAGGGAAAAATGGACAACACGTGCAGAGACCCTGGCTATAGCGGGTGATTCGAGGGTCCACCACGAGGCGACAGCTAAGGGCAGGTGGGGCTGGAGAGCAGCCCTGTGATTGGCGGGCTGGAGATACCAAAGGCTTATGATTGGGCGCGTCCAAGAACGAGGGCAGCATTTTGAACCGCATAGGGTCCTGGGTAGCAAAAGCCTTGGAAGGGTCTTAACCGAAAGGGGGCAGGGGGAAGGTCGCCAACAAACGGCTGAGCTCACAATCTGGGCAGGGCCAAGGCCGGGCGTCCCCCTCCCCCCATGGAGAGAGCTAAGCCAGAGCCACCTTCTCAGCAGCGCCAACTGCCGCGGGCGACACCGCCGCGGCCATTGCGTCCTGCTCCTGCTCCGCCCCCGCTGCCCGTCGAGGGTACCTCTTTTCGGGCAGCGGCCATCGAGGCCCCTCCGTCGCCGCCCACCTCGTGCGCGGCCGCTATTGCGACCGTGGCGTCGTCGTGCGGGGAGGCCCCAGGGTCAGGCATACAGCCTGCGGCACGACGACTGCTGCAAGTGAACCCGGAGCAGGTGCTGCTGCTACCGCCAGGGCCACCACTGCCTCAAGCTCGTGATGAAGCAGCTGCCGCTTTGTCCGCGCAGGCGCGACTGCTGCAGCTCAGGCCGGAGCTACTGCTGCTGCCACCAAAACAGCAGCCGCCCGCTTCAGAAGTCGCCCCCTGCAGGCCCGAAGTGCACCCAGTGCAGCCCCCAGCACTTCACATCAAGATTGAGAAGCAGGAGCCTGGGCTGGGCTTGGAAACGTCGGTGGTGTCTCGGAGAGCAGTGGAGGCGGGAACCGGGTCTTCTAGAGTAGTCAAAGTTGAAGGCCCTGGGCCGGGCCTCGACAGCCACCGAGGGGAAGAGAAAAAAGGCAATTTGGAGGCGGAGGAGGTTATGAGGGACGCGGGGATAGGGGGTGAAGACAAAAGCCTGGCGACCATCAGAGAAGGAGTCATCAAAACTGAGGAACCGGAGAGACTTCTCGAGGATTGCAGGCTCGGATCGGAGCCCGTGTCCAGTGACTTGATCCATGGCAGCAAGGAGGTCATCCTTACCCAGCCGACCGGTGCCTTTGGGCCACACCAACAAGACCTTAGGATCCCTCTGACTCTCCATACTGTCCTCCCTGGAGCCCGGATCCAATTTCAGGGGCCTCCACCTTCGGAGTTGATACGATTGACCAAGGTCCCCCTGACACCAGTGCCTATTAAAATGCAGTCCTTACTGGAGCCTTCTGTAAAAATTGAAACCAAAGATGTCCCGCTCACTGTGCTTCCCTCAGATGCAGGTATTAGACGGCAGGGGAATCTGGTTTTCAAAACTTCGTCTGTGTTGCCCTGTAGCTGACATGTCAGCAATTAAGAAGCCTAAACTAGGAAAATAAAATTGTGGAACTGTTTCTTTTCAGGGCAAGGTCTGCACAGGTATCACTTCTGAGTGACTTGTACATAAAATACACTAACAAGTTCGCAAGCCATTCCCAAACATTAAAAATATTTTTTTAATGTATATGATTTTGATCTCTGGTGGCGTAGTGCCGAAGGCATTTGACTGCTAACCAAAAGGCTGGTGATTCACACGCACCAGCCACACCTTGAAAGGAAAGTTGGACAGGCTACTTCCACAGTGGACACCCCCTCAGAAACCCAAGGAAGGGTCGCTATGAGTCGGATCTGACTCGATGGCAGTGAGTTTAATGTTTATATACAAAACAAGTATTTTTACTAGACAACACTAAAACCTGGGTTTATGTACTACAAATAATCTACATTAAAAATATCTTAAAATAGTTTTAATACTCGTATCAAGAAACATGAAAGCTTATACTGATTATAAGAGTTATTAATCTTTAAAATGAACAGTAAACATTTTTCTAGAAGAAAACAGAACATGATTAAATTTATCACTATATTCTTATAAAAACCAAAGACTGACAGATATATTGAAAATGAAAATACTATAGAATAAGTTAGAAAAAAATAATTTTTAAAGAAATGACCGTAGTTATAGTAGTAACAACTTCAAATAGATGTGTTTTTTTCTATCTAGTATCTCCAAATATGTAGTTAGCAAATTCTTATTTTAAGATTTAGTTCAGACAGAATATAGTGGCAATGACTGTCTTGGAAAGTCTTAATTGATCTTCAGCTCATATTTCATTAACATCTGTATTCATTGTTTTTCTTATTTTTTATGACTCTTCCTACTCCCTTGTTTTTGTCTTTGGTAGTTTTAAATTTTCATTTTCTAGAGAAAAGAAAGGAAATGCTCTCTTTATACTAATTATATCCTTTGTATATTTTTTTTAAAAAAAATATGTATCAAGTAATCTAAAATAAACTATGTTGTTGTTGTTATTATGTGCCATCGAGTCGGACCTGACTCATAGCAACCCCTCCTTGGGTTTCCGAGGCAGTATCTCTACGGAAGTAGATTGCCCCATCTTCTTTCTGAGGAGTGGCTGCTGGATTTGAACCGCCAGCCTTCTGGTTAGCAGTCAAGTGCCTTAGGCACTATGCTACCAGAGCTCCTAAAATAAACTATAGGAAGTTTATAGACAGTTATTTTTGATGAACTACTTGTTGTTGTGTTGTTGTTATTATGTGCCATCGAGTCAGTCCTGACTCATTAGCAACCCCTCCTTGGGTTTCCAATGCAGTATCACTACAGAAGTAGATTGTCCCATCTTCCTTCCGAGGAGTGGCTGGTGGGTTTGAACCGCCAGCCTTCTGGTTAGCAGTCAGGTGTTTTAGCCACTATGCTACCAGAGCTCCCAATGAACTACTTAAGAGAGATACTAATTTATTGTCATTTCAACTGGCTTTGTAATGCTTAACAAGTCAGTATTATTATTTGTGTCTTATTTTTTTCTCTCAGTCGGTGGAACTAGTGATGCTGTCCCACCTTGACAGGAACATTACCCTCATAGTGAAATTTAACTCGGATAGTATAATATTATAAATATTTTTGCTTCAGTGGACACCACCCTGGCATATACATGAGTTCCTTTAAGCATTTAGGGAGTCCCTATCTAATAACAAGGAACTCTGGTGGCCCAGTGGTTAAAGCACTCAGTTGCTGCCCAAAAGGTCAGTTGTTCAAACCACCAGCCACTCTGTGGGAAAAAATTGTAGCAGTCTGCTTCCCTAAAGATTACAGCCTTGGAAACACTATGGGGCAGTTCTACTACTAGTTCTTGCTATGACTTGGAACTGACTCATCAGCAGTGGGTTTGATTTGGTTTGCCTAACATTAGGATTATAATCATGGATAAGTCATAGTTTCTACCCCCTAGTGATAGAATATTTTTAATGAGAAATAATAAAATTAATTATTTTTAGAGATATTTTTTAAAAACCCTCAAAGGACTAATAAGCTAGCAGTTTACTGTGTGTTCAACTCCATATTATTCTCTTTGAGGAAAAGGAGAGTCATTCATTCTAAGCTACAGTTTAGAATGCTGAGTTTAGGGGTTATAAGGAATTCTGGAATATTAGCAGTTCTTTGGCTATATTGAAATGAACGTTTTCTCCAGATACTTTAAAAATAAAAATAGATGTGTGTAAAATTGTATGTGTGTGTGTGTGTGTAGTACATTAATGTAGTCTCTTAATTTTTGTCATGTAGGAATACCAGATACTCCCTTCAGTAAGGACAGAAACGGTCATGTGAAGCGACCTATGAATGCATTTATGGTTTGGGCAAGGATCCACCGGCCAGCACTAGCCAAAGCTAACCCAGCAGCCAACAATGCAGAAATCAGTGTCCAGCTTGGGTTAGAGTGGAACAAACTTAGTGAAGAACAAAAGAAACCCTATTATGATGAAGCACAAAAGATTAAAGAAAAGCACAGAGAGGAATTTCCTGGTAATCGCACAAAATAAACAAAATCTTTTTCTAATTTTTGTTACATTTATTTAGATAAAGAGTAGATTTGGTTGATATTGAAAGCAAAATGCATTATTTCTTCTATTCTGATATGTGCAATAAAGAGAATTATGGCTAATATTATAGTAATGATTGAATTGGTACTGGGTTTTCTTAAAATAGAATAAGTTTTCTTAAATAGAAACAAGCAGTAGGCTATCTAGTTTTGTATTTATCAATTAATACACACCAGTGGACATACAGTTTTACTGTGATTTTGATTAAATGAATATAGACTTAATCAAGATAGATAAAGCTCCAGAGTTCTTGCTCAACTCTATTTTCTGAGTTGTTTTTGCTTTTCAGAGAATTATGGGAACATAC